TTGAACTACTAGATATACTAGAAGCATTATCAATAACGTAGAATATTTTAATAGTTAATTACAGTGGAGATTTATCAAAAGCTAAATGCTATATTATTGAAAAATGTAAAGGATCAAATGAAAAAAAAAAAGTTTAGATGACAGTTACTAAGTATCTTCTCGTTTATGTGAACAATTCAAGAGCATGTTTACTTACATAATGATAACACCTATTCGAAATTATATTGTGAAAAAGGAACAAGTTGGATTTTTTCAAAGATTACAAAATGTTAATAATTCATGACAAATATTTCCATGTCTTGTGAACGACTTAACATCAGATATACTATATATAGACTTTTGGTGCAATTTCTACGGTGTTAAAATGTAAAATATAAAACATCAACAATCAACAATTTAGAATATGTTTATGTTTAAAGTGTAAATTCCATTTGATATTTTTAAGGAAAATCAATAAAGGATGTTGTTTAGCTTGACATGGTATAGGTTGTTTTGTTTTTGTAATAGAAATTTATCTGATATGTGTATTCGATTGCAAGCACGGTAAATCTTATCAATCAAGTTGACATTAGTCTGACAATATCTAGGAGTAAATATATCTTAACATTTTTCTGTATGGAATAATCTTTTCTTTTTCTTTGCTAACAGAGCTTTTCTATGTCATCTATTATTAAGTGATTTACAAGTTGAACATGTTCAAAAATTATTGTTGATTATGTTATATGGCCAAATGTTCAATGTATTGTATTGATTATTATAAATTAATCTATTAGTTTCTTTTTTTTTAATATTATTTCATTTTAATTTATTTTTTTGTTCTTGTTTAGATACTAAAGACTAGAATCATCTAGTTCACCAATACTTCTTTTTTTTCTCTCTTCTAGTTGCATATGAACTAATTGTTTTGAATGTTGTAGATTAATTCTTATTCATTGTAGGAATTTTCTTACATAAAAAAACTAAAAATAACTTATTTGGTTAATGATGACATTGAATAATGTTGTATTTTAAAACATTGATTTATCACCAACGTATTTGAATATGAGTGTGATGCGAAGAGAATAAATACATCTACATCCTCATCCCAACACCGTTAAGCAAAGAAAAATAAACATGAATATCAATGAAGACATTGTAGAATAGGGATAAATTGATCGCTAACGAAAACGATGAGAAACGATTATCACATCAATTATTGAGCTAACGAGAATCAATTATGTTTTCTGTTTGTCTTCGATGATCAATCTTCTAACTGATGCAAAAAAGTATTACAATGTCAATAATTATCATTGACTGAGAGTTCATGTTTCAAACATATATGTATATGGAAGGATTTTCTAGTACGAAATCATTCTATTCAATAGAACATCTCATAATCAACAGATTAAGTAAGTAGCCTAACACTTTTTTCTATTTATTTTTGGAGGGGGATCGTTAAGAGGCAAAAACAACCCCTCGTCGGAATTCGACCATGTCTTTCCAATTTTATCAGTTTAGGTGCTAGAAGTCTATTTCTATTCAAATTAGAACAATTTGATGCATTCCACGTTGTGCGTGACTCGACTTAGTTATTCTTCTTTTCTCCATGTTATATAGAACATATATAATGGTAGTGTAGCACTTTTAATTATCAGAAACATATCAATCCATTTCGCATCATATACTAATCGATAGATCTCTTCGAGATCCATCAGATGATGGTAAAATATCTAGAGAAAAAAGTGGCTAACTGAGTCTAGTGGTCGACACAATGGCGACAGTGTTATATATTATAGGGTGTAGAGTGATGGTAGAGAACTTTTGTCTATGAGAAACATGTAGGTCCACTCTGAATTACACACTAATCGATAGATCTTGATGAGATCTATCAAATGATGATAAAATATCTAGAGAAAAAAGTGAGTAAGACACTTCATTGATGCATACAATGCTCATTAATGCCCCAAACTGTCCTTTTAGACTGATTTTGATCGATTTTCTCTTGAATAGCCAGGCTTGTTATTTAAAAAAACAATATATTTGAAATCAGCACAAAAAACCGAGCCGATCTATGTATACGGTAAAGTGCTTCATCGACTTTCATTTTCGTCAGAAAATTTAGCTGTGGTCCCCCTGAGGGATGCGTTGGATTTTATTTGACGAAAATGAAAGTCGACGAAGCACTTTACCATATACATAGATCGACTCACTTTTTTGTGCTGATTTCAAATATTTTGTTTTTTTAAATAACAAGCCTGACTATTCAAGAGAAAATCGATCAAAATCAGTCTAAAAGGACAATTTTGGGTATTAATGAGCATTATATGCATCAATGAAGTGTCTTACCCACTTTTTTCTCTAGATGTTTTATCATCATCTGATAGATCTCTTCAAAATCTATCGATTAGTATATGATCCGAAATGGATTGATATGTTTCTGATAATTAAAAGTGCTACACTACCATTATATATGCCCTATATAACATGGAGAAAAGAAGAATAACTAAGTCGAGTCACGCACAACGTGGAATGCATCAAATTGTCTAATTTCAATAGAAATAGACTTCTGGCATCTAAACTGATAAAATTGGAAAGACAAGGCCGAATTCCAACGAGGGGCCGTTTTTGCCTCTTGACGACCCCCCCCCTCCTTTAACAATGCAAAAATTTCACTTTTGAAAATTATTTTCCAATGTAGATGTAGAAGACATTACAGTATGAATAGATGAAAATGAATATTCTGTCTAAAGAAAAAAAAACAACAGATACACAATATGTTTTCTTAATGCAAACGAAAGTAGAATTTATTTTTCAAATAAGAAAAAATTATTTCATAGTTTTGCGTCTAATTAAAAACGAATTTCACCACAGTTTAATTTTGTCTGTAACATTTATCATTTTGCTTGACCTATAATTCTCTTTTTATGATACAACAATTCTATATTAAACTTTGATCATTTTACATTGTAATCAACCACCATATAAAATATCAGCATCAGAAAATTAATGATTGATGATGTCAATGTGTGTCACCTGAGATTGTAACATGTATAATATTTTATGATTAAGGTCAAAGTGAATATATTCTATATTAATTAATTTAGTTCGTATCTTATGTTCTATCAAAATTAATGTAAACTTATTCGTGCATTGTACTTTACAGTGTAGATGATGTTGCATCATGAAATTTCATTCATCTAGTTCATAGGCTTTGAATGAGTCTCGTATATCTCGACTATACGAATTGTGGCAATCGGAAAAATTTATTCCTTTTTTTAGCATCATATAATATAGTAAAATACACTATGTGTCATCTTTCAAATCAAATTTGTTTTTAGCCCATTTGTTGGTACAATGATTTTTCAATTCATTCATACCAAAGGTATTTGTGATTTTTTTATTATTATATCAAGTGCCTAGCTCATATTCAAATAATGATCTAGATAACTGAAAAACGTTTTCTATCAGATGCACTATGTGCCACGGTTTCATAATTGGACTACTAAAAAAACTGAACACGGTTAACAATGTTATTTGAAAGAACACAAAATTCTGAACAAGAAAATAGTGATATTTGTAACATTGCAAGGGAACCTTGTAAAAAAAAACAGTGGTCCGTTCAAAATGTAGTACTCTTTAAGAAAATACTATCCACAACGAATTACCTACAACGTCTTCTGAGATTTGTAAATTTTTTTTTTTTTTACAAAACTTTCTCACATAGTTCAACTATATTCAATATTAAATTAAAAAAAGTCAAGTAAGTTCTTTTTGAAGATTTTTGGAAACGATATTCTGAAGCTATTCTCTTTCAATCTACTCAAGGCCATCATTCTTAGCTTGCTCCTTTCAAGAATTATAAGACTTTTTCTGAGATTCTCAATTTCAGCTGATTGATCTATGATCATTCTGAAAAGTGGCTATAAAGGCGCAATTCACCGCGCTGAATCAAATAGTGAAATTTGTTTTTTTAGGCTCGCAATGATCTAACAGTGTTAACTTAATATTTTCGAAATGTCGACTCCTTCGTTAAGTCAGATAACAGTGTCAGACATTTCGAATCAGCATGGAGAACTACACCTGCCTAGCCACTTTTTTGGGTGATCACAGGTCAATTCGGCTAAAATCGATGGTCTCAGAAAAAGTGTTATAACTCCCGAATGGCACAAACTAAAAATGTCGACTTTGGGTAAATTGAAAGAGAAAACTTTTTTCTATTGATTAGTCTTATTAATAGTCTAAATTCAAAGGAAAATACCTACAGAACATGGTTTTTGAAAGTTTTCATCAAGAACTCATCTGATTGATCAACTGCTGATCAATCAAATTTCGACATACTTCGATGGCCATGGGTCCTCTCTCTTGAATGGTGAAAACCGCAGATCTCTATGATGTTCCTATCAAAATTTATTCAAAAAATAGTGAAGCATATTATATTTTGAAATGGATAGCAGTAACGTAATCATCTATCTTGAGCACTTCTTTAACCATCTCATCTATCCATGATACTGTCGCCTCTTTAAAATACATTTAAGACAGCTAGATATCTACAGAAATTATTTTCTTATAGGAAATGATAATTATGAAAGATCGAATCTATGACTTAATAAATAATGACATATAACGTATAATTCATGGGGAAAATATAAAAATACAGATTCGATCTAATAATTCAGTGAACAAAAATCTCTTTATTTTTCATTCGGAATTAAACTACAAATTCCTAAAACTTATTAAATAAATCTTTTCTGCTTCATAATGATATTCTTTATTAACATCAATTATGTATTAAACAAAATGGATTCAAAGATTTTTTCTTATGTTCTTGTAACGAAAAAATTTTCTTGGAAAAAAAAATATCAATATTAATCAATTAATTTTCTATTACAAAACAAATCTGGTTTTCTAACTTACACAACAAAAAAAAAGAAGAAGAAAAATAATATTCTACAGGAATGATTTTTTTTGTTTTTGCAAAAGATATCATGTACAGAATACTAATATCAGACAAAGAAAAATTTTCAAGCATAAAATTCTTTAGATGATACTCTTGAATATGCATGTGTTGGTGATTTTTTTGGTCCTTCTTCTAATGCATATGAACCTTCATCCTTTTTACGCATTCGATAAATAATAAACATAACAAGAAGAATAGATAATGTCATACCAATACAAATTCCACCAATAATACCTAAAATTAAAAAAATTTATTTTCTTTTATAAAAAAAAAAAAAAGATTTGGTTTTTATTTACCAACAAGAATAACTGGTCTAGAAAATAGAGTACGCCAAATATGTGATGAAACAATTGATATTCGAGATGTTGATTGAGAATTAGAATCAATTATTGGATATTTAGATGCGGGTATTGTATTAGTAAATATATCATTTTTCATATCATCACTATCATCTTGATCTGAATTTAATTCATCATCATATTCATTAAATTGTGTTTCATCATTTAAATCTGTTGTTACACTATTATTTAATTTTGATTGTGACAAAGTTCTTGAAGATGAATCCATATTAGAATCTTCTTCATCGTCATCATCATCATCATCATCATCATCATCGTCATCATCATAGATATTTTCTATATCTAAGACAAAAAAGATAAAAACAAAACAATTGTTTTCTTTTATTCATACTATTTTCATAAGTATTATCATCATTATTATTTAAAATTGTAAATATTGTTGTTGTTGTTGTTGGTACTGTTATTGTTGTATGAGAATTAGATGCATCTGTTGGTATGAACTAAGAAAACAAGAAAAAGTTATATAACATAATTATGATTATTTAACTGATTTCGGTTCCGTTTTTTTTGCTTCATCTTGGTTAATCTCTCGAGAATATTAAATAGATTTATATGATATCGTTTTATACTTTTTAATAAAAAGAATGATCAATCAATTTATAACTATATCATCAACTAATTAAATATAATAATTAAAAAGTCTATGAAAAGAAAATAACTAATAAGTCAACGTACTTGATTTGATTCAGCAATAACTAAGATTGGATTTTGTATAAGAAGAATAAATACTGTTAATATTGACAAAAAATAATATAAATTTTGATCTTGATAATAACTATTTGCCATTATAATTTCTTTTGTTTTTTTTTTTTTTTATTTGATTAAAATAAGAAATTATTATCTCTTGATAATGTCACAATTATTCAACCACAACAAGTAAATGAAATCCATTAGGAATACTAATACTAGTTGTTGTTGTTGTTATTAACAGAGAAGAAAACAGGAAGAAGAAAAATGAGTATTGTTGTTATATGAAAATGTCGTTCTCACTCGATATCTATCTAAAGAGCAGAAGAAAAAAATATATTGGAAAAAAAAACACATCTTCATTGTTAGTTTCTAGTCGCAAGAAAAAATAAATCATTATAGTTATTAAACAAAACATAAAAAAAAAGAAAGTCGTGACAACAACACTATTCAATGCATTTTATTCACATTCATTTATTTGATGAGCGTAATTTCATTTTTCTTTGACACTTACTAATATCTAATTTTTAAGTTTATTGTATATATACCAAAAAAATTATTCGTTTTACATGTTGTCGACATAACCATTTCGATGTACATCAAGTCAAGAAGACGACATATGTTTTCTTTCTTTTACTCAAACTAATTATAATACTGGCTAGTATGAAAGAAAAAAAACGTTGTTCACTTAACATCCTTTATTAAAAAAAAAAAAAAAAGAAGAGAACCAGACAATGTTACATCATCTATCTATGCAATTTGAGAACGAGAAGAAAAATTGAACATGCATACATGATAGAATACGAGCAAAAAAAGAAAATGTCAACTCAAGAGATAGACAGACAGATGTGTCTATACACATGGATATGGCAAAACAATTGCATCATACCATCATTTAGTTCATCTTTAGAATTCATTAATAAAGCAAGATTTAATCAATATGCTTGTATGACAATATTTCTTTTTTTTACTTTAATTATAAAATATTTAAAGAAAAATTTAACATTCTTTTCTTTCATGTAAATATAAATCAAGATAATCTATATTGATTTGAAAAAAAGCATTCATGCATGAGTAGAAAGGACATTATATAGGTTAGAAACAGTGATGAATCTTTACTTGAATGTAAAAAATTAATAGTGAAAAAGATTTCATTCGATAACATATTAATGGTAAAATGTCATTTAATATAATCAGATAATTTTTTTTTTCTTTTTGCATGACACATCTTAATATTTATCTCATTATAGAACTTAAGAAAAAAAAAGATCAATCAATTTATATGCATACATTCTTGTTTACAATCGATGCTACGAACTATTACCATTTTTCAATTTTCTGAATGATATGTCATGCAAACAGTTTTATCTCCGTTTTCTTATATGACCGATGTTATTCTTCTTTAACTCACTTCTCTTATATATTTGTAGCATTCTAGTGTCGATGAGAGTGTGTCTCTTGTATGAATTGTTTCCTTTCGGATATTGCTAATGTAAGCGTGGGGAGAAGAGTGTTGTCATGCTTTCGTCTCTCTATCTTAACGCGTTCGATTTATAAAAAAAGATCGAGAAAAGCTTAATAGTTATATAAAGTTGTTAGATGATGTCAATTTATGATAATACTCACCAAAGGGTTCTAATAATTATTGATTATTGACCGACTAGTATTTGATGTATATATATAGAGAGAGAGGAAGAGAAAGAGAAATAAATTAAATAAAACGGTCCGTTTGCTCTCTTAATGTGTCAAGAGTTCGGTCAAGCATCGTATGGAACATAGTAAAAATTCAATATATTCTTTTTTTAAATTTGATCAATGGTGCGCGTGTCTTTATTATTATGATAATAAAATGCATAACAATCATGATGGGAGATCATTTATATTGAACATTATGCTCTCTTTAATATTCATTCTTTCTTTCTTTTTTTTCTTGTTGCACATGCCTGTTCGACAATCATGTCTAGACACGATGAAGGAGTGCAGTGTCCTAGTAAAAAATAAAGATTGTTTATTATTCATTAACGATGAACAATTATCAAGTATATAAAAGATGAAAATAGTGAGACAAGGAAAAAAATAATAATAATTTATCAAAATGTCATATAAATAAATAAAAAAGGAAAACTCATCTTTATCACATTATGATCAATAATTATATTCGTTTAGATTACACAATCGGAGTAATACTAATGACGAATAACAATGATATGACTAGTTTCTTTTTTTTTTCAATAGAAAAAAGAATAATAAATAATAATGTCTCATTCAATATAATGTGTTAAATCGGATGTGAAAAGAAAAAAAAAGGCAGAGACCAGCTGTCAAGTAGACATGTTTCACTAATTTTTTTTTTGTCTGTCAAAAAACGACAAAGAAATACTTTTCTTTAATAAAAATGATTATAATTATGATAATAAAAAAAATGGACAATACTAAAAAAAAAAATTCCTGATATAAAACTTGTGACTAGACAGATGTTTTAGATATTAAATTATAAATAAATAATCATTCACCTTTCAATATTATTGTCTAGATCGTCAATAGTTTAATTCAAACAATAACAAGCTTATTAACGTTCAATATTTTCTTGAAGGAGTCACACAACACTACTTGATAGTCTGTTAAATCAAGTGTTGAATTGTTAAATATCATTGAATTTCTATGCTTCAAATAATAATCAACTTCAATAAAATTGAACGGATATTTTCAATTTAATAAATTAGATAAATTCCATACAATAGTTTATAGACGATTTGAATAGATCTATTTTTGTGTTCTGTGTATTTCTTTTTATTTTCTTTTCTTTTGTCTTACTAATATTAAGATGATAATTGAATGGAAGCAAAACAAAATATTTTTATAAGAAAACAAGGAAGTCATGTATACAAAAAAACACGACATGACTCTAAGAAACATTTATTAATTTAATACAGCATGCTTCTTTCGAGAACAAAAGAAAGAAAATAATAACATTGAGAAAAGAAAAATGTTATTGAATAAATTAAAGACAACATATCAAGTCCTGCCCATAGTATGACCAAGAAACAATAAGAATTATATAGTTAATTATTCATACAAGATAATTATCGATTGAAAAGTACGAACAATAACTTAGTAAAACGTAAAAATAAAAAATAGAATAATGAACAAGATTGTGTCAAGTTGAAATGATTAAAAAAACAATTCATTGTTCTCATGTTCTAATAATACAGATTCTTCAATATGAGTGAATTGCAATTTTTTTGATACGATTGAGATTTTAGCTGTATATGGCTAATAACTTCTGTTTCTCTCAATCGATTTGGACAATTTTTTCATACTCGAACCTATTCAATGAATAAAACTAATTTTATTATTGAATTTAGAAGATATTAGACTGTACATCATATATTTCTTTGAATATTTAGTGAAGTGTTGGAAAACTTTTGTTGTCTAACATAGATATCGAGTAGAATCAAATATACTACTCAGAAATTATTTACAGCTACTTTCAGTTTTTCGTGCCAATTGTACCAAAAAGTTGCAATTCACACTCATAGCTATTTTGATGTTTATATTTTCTGTTTAGAAAAATAAAGTTTCTTTTCATAGTAAATTTAGAAAAAAATAACAGACAGGTGGATAGGCTTGATGCTCTGTTCAATATCATTGATATTCTTTCCTTTTATGAATATTATCCATTGTTCTTTGTGCATTATAAATTTATAATTTTCTTTAAGGCCCCTTCCCTCCCCTCTTCTCAAAAAATGTCAATTTTGGTCAAGTTTGTCGATTTTGTGATTTATAGCTCGTTAGATAGAGCTAAGTGTCTACTTTCGAATGCACCATAGTTTATTGATTTTATAATGAGATTTAAGGATATTGCACAGGCTTTTCTGAACTTCCCACAGGAGAAAATAAGGTTTTTTCTAAAAAGTTTTGGTTTTTTCTCAAAATAGGATTTTTGATTTTTATGTTTCAGTGCATCCTAGATTTCTCCGCCATTTTAAACGCTAGAAAAGTCGGGCTAGTTTTAAAGTGTAGCCAATATGTGGCGCACCAACTTAACAGAGTCGGATTTTCCGATTTCTTCATTTATTTTTATAAAAGAATAACTTTTCTGGACCTACTCCCCATTGGCTTTTTCATATTTCATCAGAGAAATTCTCTAAAAAGACAAGCTAGGAGAGAATCGAAAAGTCGAGTCCTGTTAAGTTGTAGTGCCACATATTGGCTACATTTTAAAATCAGCCCGACTTTTCTAGCATTCGAAATAGCGGAGAAATTTGGAACGCACGGAAACCTAAATTTTGACCCATAATCTTATGCTAACTCTCCGTAGACTCAATATATCGAGCTGAAAGTTTTACTGTGAGGTGTCTAGCTCGAGATACATCTCCACTGAAATTTTTATCATGATTGAATGCTCAAAAAAAAATATTTCATTTTAAAGGGGGGGGGGGAGCCTATAACTGATGAATACAACAATTCAACATACAATGGTTTTAGTATTAACGTAAAACGGGCGAAATTCTATTCAAACAATGTTAGACGTTGCGAGCAGATTCAGTTTTTTTGGTACAGAAGGAATTCTTTTGTCCTATTTCATCAGCCAGTAAATCAAAGTTTTCCACGTCATCCGATTGCATATTATTGCTGAGAGCATCTCATACATAATAATCTAAAACATTGAAATGAAGACCACTTGATGGTCATGTGTGATTGTTTATCAAATGCATAAAATTCTTGTCAGACCATGTCAATGATTCTGTATGTTTATGTTGCATGCCTTGTTGATCGATGAAATCATTGGCTAACAGCCGTTTATCTTCAAGAAGAACAGTTTCAATATAATTTTCAAATTCTCTTTGTCAATAAATTGAATTTTGTCTTTTTTTTTTAAACAAAAGATGCATATATTCAATAAGCTTTGTAAATTGTAGAATATTGCACGCTGCATCTTATGGTATATTTTGTTTTTTTTTCTAATAAAATATGTTGGGTGATGAAATGCAAAATATAGCCATTCATTAAGTATAGCACCTTAGATCAAGTTTTAGTAATCTATGATCAAAATCCTTGTAAAATCACTTTCGCAGTTATGCAAAATCTACTTATAT